GTTATAAGCCTTTAGATTTACCACTGAGCCACCGGAGAGGAACAAATGACCAATTAATGGTGTATTTTTTTTCTCTAAGACTTGGTGTACATATTTTGCCCGAACTGTTTTATGAAATGTATTTAACAATTACTCTTTCAACAGGGCCATTGTTGAGCATGATGTATCTAGATAGTAAAATATAATTAAATCATGTTCTATATAATATCAATGCCACTGAGGTTATTAAAACTTTAAATAAATATGCATAACTGTAAATAATTTTCAGGAGAAAATCCAGCAGCCATGCATCATGGTGGGAAGGCCAACCAAAGTGAACGTTGTTTCCATATGAATTTCCAGTTCCTTCTTCTTGTTATGCTTCAACTGGCGGCATCAGAGATAGCTAGATAGCTTCGTGGATTAAGGTCGTCTAAAATCAAACTAGATAAAATACTGTTTGTACTGATATTCCCTGGTTGTGTTTTTGTTTCTTTTCAATTTACACGTCTCAACACATTAGTGGACACGGATTTCAAAGGAAGGCTAGAAAATCTGGTTCGAACCAAGACGTCAATACACCCAACTGTCTTGACACTCTCAAGTTCGTGTTTAAGTATTTTCTTTGTCACAGTGATGTGGAATTTTGCGTGCGTAAAAATTTGTAAACGTGTCTCGTAAAACAACGCGAAAATATATAAAACAGCAGTAATTAAGCTCGACTACAATTGCCAAAAGATTTGGTAAAGATCTGATGATTTCTAATTTGAATACTTTATTTGATATCCTGAAACATGATCTATGTGAGATGCTATTAAACATTTAAAGTAACAACCAAATATACGAACATTATAGAAAAGACGATTCCGGCGATAAGGAAAACAATTAATTTTCAAATTATTTGCCAAATTGTCAAACCAACAATAACGAGCAATAGTTTCTGGAATATCAATGTCTTGTGTATACTATATAATCGCTTTTAGCCTGTAGTGATTGTTGAGATTCCATTGTTTGGCAATGATATAGGGATAAACATAACCTTTTTTTTCCGACCCATTGTTATGGTTCGACCAACATTTTATGACAGAAGATATCATATGATTCTTTTTCTTGATGATATGAAGAAACTCATACATAAGCAGCAAGGAAAAAAAAATCTCCATTTGTAAAAAAGTTCCTTAACCCTTACAAACTCTTGTATAATCTTATCATTAGCAGTATCCCTTGTATGTAATAAAACTGGTTATTATTCTCATTAATAAGAAATACAGATGAACTTTGGATACGAAAAAGGATGATCCGAGTCCAAACTAGAACCTTATGGGAGTATGTGTAATAAATACTTGACGACTAGCACTAGAAGCTGATATGGATCAAGGAAGTGGATTATCAGTTGAGTCTTTCTTGATTATATGGACCATGAAAATGGATTAGCATTTCAAAGTTTGCTGTTAACGTGGATCAAGGAAGTAACTTAAAATTGGATTACCCGTTGTTATTGTGGATTGGCAAAACTGACTAGCATTTGGAGCTTTGTTGCTTTGTCGTTGCTGATACTATATATCATAATAACAGATTATCATATGAAGACTATTCGCTAAGATAGACTAATGGATTATCCGAAAACTGAGAATTAACCTTGCTATGATTAGTGTATGTTCTCATGTTTCTCAACAGTAATGGTGTTTAACAGGATTATATAATTATTCTAGCACTACTACACTCGTATTTATAGGTGTATTTATATAAAATCTATATTGTATAGAAACATTTTACTTCAATACGTAATCAATAGTCATCCATTAATCGCTAAACTTTCTGTGTCTGCTTAATTTATCTCTACAATGATCTATGTTTGAAGCTGGTTCAAGATCTAAAAATCAAAACACTCTCTTATTAAAAACATTTACATCTGATCTATATTATTATTCCCTAACAAGAAGTTTAATTTAGCTACATATTGTGAATCGAGACCAATTTCTTTAAACCATATGCTTGTCTGTTTTGTCTAATGGAAAGTTAGAAAAATAACCTTATTATGTGAGTGTGATATAAGTAAAATTAGAACCAACAAGATCATCAATTCCAGTTTTACGTTTAATAATTAAATCTGAAAAGCTCTGTTATTTGAACATTTTGTTAAGAATATTCCACGAAAATTCTTATAAAGAACTAGATGATATTTGTTTACTGTGTAATTATGGCTGTCTTGTTTTGTTATTGTTGTCAATGTTTCTTCAAATATGTGAGAGTGTGGGCTTCTGAGAACATATAACAAATAGGCTTTGAGCTTTGTCGATATTTCCTTAACCTTAAGTTTCGTAACTGAATTAGTGAAAGAAGTTGTAGCAAAACTTGTATGTCATATATTAATAAATATAAACTGTTGACGTCACTGGTATTGTTCCATGTTTGTTACAAGTTACACCACCCAAAATCAATATCTTCACAAATGAAATTTTGTTTGAATGATCTTTAAGCTGCACGTCCAAATATTAGGTAAGTGAAGTTCGTTTCGTTTAACTTCAAGTTCTATTTTTACCCATAGCTAGAGTTTAGAGCTGAATACAAACTAACTATGGGTAAAAATAGAAATTGCAAAGCATTGAAATGTTTTTGTAAAGTAGTTCCAAGGCAGCACGAGATCTATAATATCAGTTTTTTTAAAATACGATTAATTTTCAGCATGTTTGTTACCGTAACTCGGGCTTTTATAATAATATTGTGAAACATTTATTGCAAATTTTTCATTGTTAACTTATTGTGTATTGCTGTACAGTTGTTATGCAGAAGAATCCGCTTTTGCTTTATTTCATGAGTTTTGCAACAGACAAAAAGTGTTTTTTAACTGTATGATAAATCCACTTTTCTCTTAGGTAATCTTTTATACACGGACCTATCCCAGTGTTTCTGAACCTTTTTTTGCTCAAGACACCCCTACACATAGACTACAATTTTCATGACGCTCCTAACGTTTTATAGCCTAGTTAACAGTGGCGTAGTCGGGGAGGGGGGGTGTTAAAAAGAGCAAAAATTATACAAGGTGGTGTGCAGCAGTAACAACAAATTTGACGGTCTCAATTTTTATTTTACTACACATAAAAATGTTTCAAATATGTGATGTAGCAATGTATTTGTTCGCTTTTTTTACGATATTTTGCTCAAATCTCGCGGAACCCTGGTTGAGAAACACTGGCCTATCTCTTCAACCTTTCAATAATTAAAAGCACTTTTTCTTTTCCTGCTCAAAGTTGCTGTTAACAAATCAACTGATGTGCACGGATTAAGCTAAGTTTACGAAATGAAATTATACGATCTATATTATCAACATTATGGAGATCTATATACAAAGTATAAAAATGTTTGTATTCAGCTCTAAACCTTTTGTAAAGTAGTTCCAAGGCAGCACGAGACCTAGAACATCGGCCCGATGTTCTAGGTCTCGTGCTGCCTTGGAACTAC